AGGTATCGCAAATATTCGCCAGGGGGAGACGAAAACGCCCCCCCCCCCTCCGGGCCCGCGAGGGTTAATGGCTAAGCTCAATACGTATGCATTACACCCACTGGCGGTCGCAGCCGCTAGCAAAAGGGGGGGCCAAAGTCACACTCGCTGGACATAACATTTATCCGTCACCGGGAGGGGGGGGGGGGGTGATCGGCTAATTTTTTACGTCCACGAGGTGCCATGCAGTTGGCATTACTTATGCTTCATCCATCTGATTCTTGCGTGAAATCTTTAAGCTCAATTTAAGGCAAAATCACCAGTTCCATTTCCCGTCCCACGGTGCTTCCACTGGTCGGCCCACTGCACCATGACGACGGATCGGTGTAGCATAGGTATACTGGAAGGTCAGGCACGCAGATTCATGACCTTACCACTATAAAACAATTCGGAAAAGTACAGATACCTCTTGCTTTGAACAAGCATGTGAAACCCAGAGAGCATTTTCAGACTATGACATTTACCTACCCATATAGGTAACGTACCTAGTTGTGTGGCGGCGGGAGAGAGTAGGTACACCGACCTCTGGAGACCCCCCACAGGTTCCGAGCTTTCAAAATTGGCATCTGACTCTGAGGGCCGCGCGCCACTCCTGCGGAGCTTCGCAACGGCTCTATTAGGGCTCACTCAACCTGCCTAGTCTTACTGCTAAAAAGACTGGCCCTGAGCCCTAAGGACTTCATCAGTCTCTGCCAGCCCCAGGACCCACACCGGCTCATGGGGTCCCGGCGTCGAAATATGAGGAAATCTGCGCGGGACCATCAGGACGTAAAGTAATCTCGATCAGGACCAACGTAAGGCTGTGCCGGAGACTGCGTGAGCCCTCTGATCTTCAGAAACCCACCCATGTATGTTTTCACGTAGAGGCCAGTTTAGGGCCCTCAGAGACCAGTACAGGGCCTGCAAACTACAAAGGCCAGTAGTTTGAGACAATCAGTGACCGAGTTGGGCTCTCAGAGGCTAATGTGGGTCATTACAGGCCAACATGGGCCCTCAGAGGTCAGCGTGGGGCCCTAAAAGACCGGCATGAGCCGTCGTTGGACCCCAGAGGCCAGCAGAGGGCCCTCAAAGGCCAAGATGGGCCCTCCTCAGAGGCCAATGCAGGCCCTTAGAGGCCGGCACCGGGTCTTCAGCAGCCAGTGCGGGGCCCTCATTGGCACCTGAAGGTTCGTCTTGGGACACCACAGACAGAAATAAGGCCACCAGAGACCGGTGTGAGACCCTCAGACGCCGGTTGGGACCCCTGAGGCCGGTTAGGGGCCCTCATAGGCCAGATGTGGGGTCTCAGAGGTTGATGTAGGCTCTTAGCGGTCAACGTGGGCGCTTGACCGCCACTGAAGTTCCCTCAGAGGTCAGTGTAGGACGCTCAAAGACCGGTGTGGGAGCTATATTAATAGCTGGACGTGGTTTTTTTGAGCCTCGTGACGATCGAATAATTGCCAGGGCCCCATACACCTATATGGGGGCCCATTGGTTGTTTGAGGGGGCAAATGATATGATGGCCCCCTTTATTGACCTTTGGGGGGGGGGGGGCATGACCCTGATGCCCCCCGCGACCGCCACTGTGTACACATTACACACATGCCTCTGAGATTACATACTAGCTCATGCAAACTCTATGCAGGCCCAGGAGTTCCCACGCTAATCCTTAAGAAACCAAGCCAGCATACGGCGTCATGCCACCGGGCTTCTGAGGTGCACAGCACCAGCCCATGAGGTCTTACTTTAGTGTCTTAGAGCCAATCTCCTTAATAGCAGGGCCCACCGACCACTGCCGAAGAGGGTCTCATGCCAGCCATTGCTGGGCCTACGAGAGCCTCAAGTAAACCCACGCTGATATTCCATATAAGATCCGGCCATACTCGTGAACCGGTGCCAGCGACGCTGACCGCCAAATTGACAGAATGCGAAACTGAGCCCACTCATGAGTGAAATTTACGTCCTTTGATGGCGCAAGAAAGAAAATGAAACATACGAAAAGCTTTTCTAGGACTTTTGCTCGATCTGAAAGGTGGGGCCAAAAGATAGTATGGCCCCACCTTTCAGCACCAAAGGGGGGGCCATGGCCCCCGTGGCCCCCCCCTGGGACCGCCAGTGATTACACCTGAAACCATAATAATTTTGAATGGCAACATCTAACTAGGGGCAAGGTGCTCATGGATTTTGCAGATTGGCGTATCAGACAACAGTCTGATCACCTCAAGCTTGCCCCCACTGGCGAAAATTCGTGGCGCCGCCACTGCCCTGAGCCCAACCGCACACGAATATTTCGATATTTTTCCCCTTTGTTTATGGTTTGCATGCATGCAGAAAGAATGGCTTCATGCCCTAAAACAAAGTCTAGCCAATTATTCTCAAATCATAACACCGGTGGGACAAAGCTATTGAAACGGCGATAGTGATACGATACGCGAAACACACAGACACATATACACAAAAAAAAAACGCTTTGACCTACCAACAAAATTACTTTTGGTTTGCAATGTTATGAGTCTTGCAACGTGATCAAATATATTGATTGGTTACCAACCGGTAAAATTAAATTGGTAAAATTAGGTGCACTCGCCGGATAGCCCGTCGTGAAAACGGCCATTTGGCTTGCGATATTCGGACTTATAACTTTCAACTGCACTTTATCCAAAGGTCGTAAGTCGTAACTCAGTATGAGAGCTCATTTTTTCAATTTATCGTAAGGACGCACCTGGCTTACGCACAGAAGGCATGTAGGTATTCCAAAAACCGGCACAGCATATCGCACGCTTAGACATTGTAGAAAGGTATACGTTGTTCATATTCCCTGATCTTTTTACTTTCAATATGAACATGCATTTTTAAAATCCAACTGAGACGAGATGACCTGGACAGTGGACAGGCCCAAAGCGGAAGAATCAGCCTTGATCAGCCAAGGGCGGCGCCACCGTGGGGGCAGTGGGGGCAGACTGCCCCCACTGGCAGGAGGCCGTGGGGGCAAGACTATGTTTTGCCCCCACAAAATTTGGCTGATGTTGACAAGGGAACAGAAGACCGGTGCAACATTCATGATAGGCAGTTATAATAGAAGGTACGCCTGTTTTTGACGGTCCCCGTATCAAGTGCATCAGCAGAACGTTCGTTCTCGGACCGTCTGTCGCATATCTCCTACTCCCACTCATTTTCCTACTCATTTTCATTCACCAGAAGGCTGCCCTCGCCCCTCGAGCTTGACCTCGAGGAGGTTGAGAGGCAGTTTGTCAAAAGTCGGCCAGAGAAGAGATCACCCTCTTTTGGGAACCCTTAGACTGAGACCGACCGAGCTCAGGGAGGTATGACAAAATGTGATAGGTATGTATGTTCGGGTTATCTGGAAATGTATGTGGGTCGCCCTAATGGAGCTTATCCTGGTATAGGTATCAATCGTGTGTGAGAGAATCGCACATTTACGTACTACGGGAAAGAGAGAACTGGGTACTGGCTGTTGTTGTGAGGAATACACCATTTTACATCTCAACGAACAATATAACGTTTTCACAGGTTTGTGTCTCGCAATCTAGTTTTATAGTTTTATTTGTTCGCGACCCTAACCCGGCCGGGCCCGGGGGGTAATCCCAACCACCGCAGCCCGGGGGTAGCCCTCCCCACCCCCCCCACCTGTCTAACAACGTTAACGGAAACCAAAATGGTACCAAACGAAAGGTATCTACGAGAAGATTTTAAAGCACCTAAACCTTTTTTTTTTTTACCTCAGGTCAATTTTCCTGAAGTCAAGGTCAGAAGTCAAGGTCAAAGGCAAAAACCGGCACTTTTGTAGTGGTCTCAAAGTACGTGTTCCAGAGGACGGCATGGTGTATAAAACCGGCTAAAATGGATGGTAAACGAAAGAAGAGAGTCTGGGGATTCGGATTCCGATGATGTGCATAACATTCAAATTCAAGGTCACGGTCATGCGCAAAACTGACCACAAACTTTGCATTTTTTCTTATATCTTGTATACTAAATTCCGAGATGTTTTGAAATGTTTTGGAGCTTAGCGGACCCCTATTTGTACTTACGATACAAGGCTGGTACAGAGCACAGGGTCAAAGTCACAAGAGTATCTTTGCTAGAGACTATTTCACTTATTCAACTCAGGCATAAGAATTAAGACATGTTTTGCCATCCTGATGCTCTAACTGAATGCTTAGAGCAAACTGGATGCCAGAATCGTGACCAGTGGCTACGAAATCATCACAAACGACCTTTCATGTGCAAAAGTCAACCAAAGGTCATTCGAGGTCACATGAGGTCAACATAAAACTTGACCTTTTCCAAACAATTTACATGTATGTCATTCGACGCGTCTCGACATGACGAATGCGAAGGTACCACTGCCGTAGCTCTAGGACCATTTTTGCTGAAGTTATTTGCGAACTAAACTAAAGTCCCAGCTCAGGGTCGTTGACCTGACCTCTGACCTGAGGTCACCAAAGTTACTTAAGTACTTTTTCTAGGTCAATTGCTACACAACCGTGCACGTAATTTGTCTTTATCTCTAAAACTCTATTTTTGGCATCTGGTTGAAGCTCACGTCTGAGTGACGCCGAAGTTTGCCGTGCAGGAGTCTATAAAAATCGGCCCTGAGACGTTATCAAGGAGGCTAGGTCCAATTTTCTTGCTTCAAAAGATGTCAAATTAATGGGGGATAAGGTACAGCAAGTTCCGTCTTTCTATCCCTAGGTGTTCGTGAGGTATCGGAAATAGGAGGCGAAAACGCCCCCCCCCCCCTTCCGGGCCCGCGATGCTCATGGATTTTGCAGATCGGCGTATCAGACAACAGTCGGGTCACCTCACCCTCAGTCTTGCCCCCACTGGCGAAAATTCGTGGCGCCGCCACTGTGATCAGCACTCCACAACGAACATAAGAAACTACGCCAATCTACGACAGCGTTGGACCTACGCTTGTTCCATTATCAGACGGGCCCTGCGGGGAACATTCATGAAGCTTCGAGAGTTCACCAGTGATGCCTGACTGTACGCAGCATATTCTCTCGCTTCCGCATATAGTTTCAACCCGTAAATATTTTCAACGATTTTGGACAGATTTATAATAATATTTTCAACATTTTAAGCGTAAAACTGGAAAATATATACTCATTTTCTTTAAATAGAAATGAAACTAGGAATTTGATTGAAAAACAAAACGTAAGTAATAACATAGGAATCATCCGCCATACGTCTATATAATCACCAAACATGGCGCCCGTGATTCAGTTGAGAATTGAAGACGAGGGAGGTTGTTGCGCGGTGTCTGATTGAAATATTAGAGTACTGCAATCTGCGAAAAGGTATGTGAATGTCTGTTTGTGTCTGGGATAGCTCGTTTAATTTTTAAATGGCGTATATTTTTTTCATTTTTCGACAAAGGAAGTGTTATTGTATCTGAGAAGGGCATACCAATTAGATATACTGATACCTACACTGAAACCTAGCGAGGTGAATGTGTCTAGTTTCCAGCATGGATTACTTCCTTCCATTCACATTGATGTAGCATATCCACGGGTGGAGAATGTTTGAAAAAGTTACCCCGGCCGGCGACCGAAAGTCAGAAAGACGATGATGGTCAAATATTTGTCAACGGTTATCAACAAACCCCTATTCTGTGGCATAGAATAATGGCTGTCTGCCGTTTGTACGTTTTTAGGGAAAACTGCTGCACGCAGGTGCGGAAGATTTCGTAATTGTAACTACAATTTTGCAACACTCCTTAAAATTTCGGACGCATGTCACCTAGTGATAGGTCAGGTCATCAGGTCAAATTTGCTGGACATGATCGTGCTAAAAATGCCATCATGCCCTTTGCAAAGCTTATTCCGTGGAAGTTGCAACCTTCCCACAAAAACAAAATGTCAAATTTGACCGTTTTGACCCTCTTATTGATTTGAGCTGGCACCTGAAATATTATTCGCGACTGAGCCTTAAAGGTAGACTGCCACCTTTTTTCCACAAAACGGTTTTAACTAGAGCTGAGCCACCTATGTCCCAGACTGAAGTCGGTTTTCCGAAATTCGAACCCGTTTGCGAGAAATCGGAGACCAAAGTTCAGTTTGATGCCATTTTTTTAGTCCAAGAAAACCGACATCTCTACTGTTTATCGATAACTTTGAAACATTAATTTTCTTATCTTTTGGTAAATATAAGTCAAAACTTTGATTGTTTCGAGATCAGAGAAGAATTTTGGAGTGTCAAAATAAAAGTTAAACTTATATATTCAGTAGTTCATTTTTTCCAAAAAAGTGTGGGAAATGGGGTTTAACATGGGCCAGACCCATTCCAAATGAGCCATGATTTTTTTAATGTTTTACGAACTTAAATGCAAAATAAATTAAACATGGCCAATTTCTCATGAAATCATATATTAGTAAATCATAAAATACCTTACTTTTTCAAATAAAATGTAATAATCTTATGACCTTGAAGTCTAGTGATGTGTAAACATTGTCGCTAGACATTAACCGATTGATAATTGTATGAAAATCGACAATTTTTTTCGCGATTCACGTGATGATACTTTGTCAGGTGAATTCTAAAATTTTGTTTTGTCCAGGGAATAAATCATAGGCCGATCTGAGAAAACTTTTTGAAGGTGGCAGTCTTCCTTTAAACGAGTAATCGAATGTTTTGCTTGCAGTCTTTAAGCTCCGTTATGTTCATGAACTGAGAAAAGTTGTCGGAGAACGCTAAAATCAGAGAAATTTGGCTTTTGATGATCTATGGTGATTTTATTATTGAGCTTGCCTAAAACATGACCAGATTTCTCTGATCACGTTTGTCGCTCTTTCAAACGTCGTTCCGCTTCTCGCCTCGTAGCCCAGTAGCCGAGTTAAAAGGAGCGTGAAAAGCCCACCTCTCGACTCAACGTGTTACGATAAGGCCACCACCCTGGCGCGGGTTAAGTTGGGGGAGCCTTGAGCCCCAGTAGCTCGTCCTTCTAAGTTCTATGTATATCACTGATATTGCCCTCGTCCTGTCTTGTGATGTTATTACAGTGCCATCTTACGATAACGGCCCTTAAATATGATTTACTTCTGTTTGATGAAACATGTCGGGCTCCGCGATGAAAAGACTTAAAAACATAGAAACTTCAAAATGAAAATAAAGTACATTTTCAAGAACTTTTCAAGGTAGATAAGAATAACGAGAGACGCTTTTATAGATGGCAGTTTTTTTCGTATGGAGACAGCTTTTAGGATTTACAAAAGTGGAAAAGTTACCCCGGCCGCGCCGGGGTCGGCTGAAAGTTACCCCGGCCACGGCCGGGGTGGCCGGGGCAGGTTCTCCACCCATGAGCATATCAGTCTGGCCTGGCAGCCCAAATTTGAATTAGCCTTTCAGAAGTGTTTGGTTTGCGGAACGGTTTTGACTCCCCGACCTGTGATAGGCATGTGTTGGTGCTATGCTGTTCTCCCACATGCTTCAAAAGTGGTTTGTCCAATGTTTATGATGCAAAGGATGGATCTATCTGATTGGGAGGGAAATTTCTACAGGCATATTTTCTTCGCACAGCTTTTTGTCTGCAGGGTTTTGTCTCGTTTTGTCTGTACATTGTCATTTGTACATTTTTCATTCAGATATTTTTTGTCTTTATACTTTTTAGTCTGTATATATCTCCATTCTGACATTTTTTTGGCATTTCCATTCCAATTCAGACATTTTTTCGTTCAATTTTTACGTCTGCAGTGCACCCACTGTTACAACTCAAAGGTGAAGGTTGAATGAAGACAAACCTACTACAATGCAAACTCTGAGGCAAATGACATTATAATCTTGGGGCAAAGCAGTGCAGGGCCAAAGTCAGTGCCTTAGGAGGTATTACAGGCAATGGCAATGAAGCCCGTAGCTAGATGCACAACCGCTTAAAGGGACACTCCCACCTTAACATTAGTTTTGAGTTGAGATAGCCGAATTGGTGGCCATGGCCTGCAAATACCGGTTTGGGCACTCACAACATCGAAAAATGCTTTAATTCGAAGATATGGAATTTCAACCTTGCAGTTTTCGGATTCTAAGGGGCTAATGCATTGGAATGCCCCCTTAGAATTTGTGACGTCAGCGGAGATCTAACGATTTTTAAATCTTAGACTAAAACCATCGCTAACACGTGGTGGTATACGCTGCTTTGCGCGCAATGTCTGCCGCACTTTAAAGCTGCCAAATTATTGCTTCCAAATAAAGTCGCTAGTAACAGGGGAGATCCCAAAAAGTAAACAAAAGTCAAAGCCCAATATCTTGAAAACCAGTGAATACTTTTTGGTGAAATTTGGTAGATATTCGTTTTCCCTCTTTCTGAACCAAGGAACATCACTCTCATGCCAATTCATTAACTTTTTTTTTTAAGGTGGGAGGGTCCCCTTAACCTTGAAATAATTGACTTACCATTGTTTGCAATCTATGCATGCAAGTAACTTTTTCCTTATCCCTGGTAGGCAAAAATTAGTAGGCAAGGATAGGTGAGGTTTGGTTACGTTCTAACTTCTAACCATTGTGCTCTATGTATTTGCCATCCCACCCCATGTTTGCCCTTTACTATTTTTTTTTACATGTCATAAAGAAATGTCCAAGGTGGTGTTTCAAAAAAATATGTAGATGAGAAAATGTCTTGATGACAAAATACATGGAAGAAAAAATATACGGACTAAAAAATGTTCGGACAAAAAAATGTTCAGACAAAAAAAATGTTCAGACAAAAAAAAATGTTCAGACAAAAAAATGTACTGACAATAAAGCACGGGCGAAAAAATGTGCAGACAAAAAAGTGAGAGATGTAAAAAGTCTGACGAAAATCTGCTTACGTACAATTGTCCGACGAAAACGTGCTAAACGTAAAAACGTCATGGAATCTGTGGTAGTCGATTGATCGACTGATTGCCAAAATATGTGACTGATAGGCGTTACACGGCCGGGTTGGGCTGCACATACTTGTATGATCAAATGTATAAAAAAATCGTGAAAGATAGTGAACTCGCTCGCCTATCAAAGACCGTTTCTAACAATTTTGTCCTTTTCAGATGACGACCACAGACGGAGATGCGGAAGTTTTCGCATTCCAGGCTGAGATTGCTCAGCTTATGTCCCTGATTATCAACACATTCTACTCGAACAAGGAGATTTTCCTGCGTGAGTTGATTTCCAACGCTTCTGATGCGTTGGACAAGATCCGCTACGAGTCTCTGACCGACCCCTCCAAACTGGACGGTGGCAAAGAGCTCTACATCAAGATCATCCCCAACAAGAATGACCGCACACTCACTATTATTGACACGTAAGTTGAACCATAGTGTGGCTCGTCATAAGCTAAACATATTTTGTCGCAAGCACCCGTTTCAGTGTCTGAATTTAAGGCTTGCAAGCTGTAACGCAATATTGTGTGTAACGATATTGTGAGTTTTCAAGACAACTTTGAATGGGCTTTTCTACTCGGAACATACCACAGTTGTTCCTGAACAGGTTTTATGACCATTATATTTGAATGATGTTGTAAGTTACGTCTGACGTGGGTCGGGATGTGATAACGCCTATCACACTCAATCTTGATCCATGTTGTGCTGCCAAAACAAATCTGAACTTGACCCTAGGTCACCAAACGATGTCAATTAGACTGCTGTGATTAACATGGGTGTAATTTTTCTTCCAGCGGAATCGGCATGACCAAGGCTGACATGATCAACAACCTGGGTACGATCGCCAAGTCCGGCACAAAGGCGTTCATGGAGGCGCTGCAGGCGGGCGCCGACATCTCGATGATCGGCCAGTTCGGCGTGGGTTTCTACTCGGCCTACCTCGTCGCCGACAAGGTCACCGTGCACAGCAAGCACAACGATGACGAGCAGTACGTGTGGGAGTCGTCGGCCGGCGGCTCGTTCACCGTGAAGCCCGACACCGAGGAGCCCCTGGGCCGCGGCACCAAGATCGTGCTGCAGCTGAAGGAGGACCAGACCGACTACTGCGACGAGAAGCGCATCAAGGAGGTCGTCAAGAAGCACTCCCAGTTCATCGGCTACCCGATCAAGCTGCTGGTGGAGAAGGAGCGCTCCAAGGAGGTCTCAGACGACGAGGAGGAGGATGAGACCAAGGAGAAGAAGGAAGAGGACAAGGACAAGCCCGAGGTCGAGGACGTCGGCGAAGATGAGGAGGGCGAGAAGGACAAGAAGAAAAAGAAGACCATCAAGGAGAAGTACAATGAGGAGGAGGAGCTGAACAAGACCAAGCCGATCTGGACGCGGAACCCCGACGACATCAGCCAGGAGGAGTACGGCGAGTTCTACAAGTCGCTGACCAACGACTGGGAGGACCACCTGGCCGTCAAGCACTTCTCGATCGAGGGTCAGCTGGAGTTCCGCGCCCTGCTCTTCTGTCCTCGCCGGGCGCCGTTCGACCTGTTCGAGAACCGGAAGAAGAAGAACTCTATCAAGCTGTACGTGCGACGTGTGTTCATCATGGAGAACTGTGAAGAGATTATTCCCGAGTACCTGAACTTCATGCGCGGCATTGTCGACTCTGAGGATCTGCCCCTGAACATCTCCCGTGAGATGCTGCAGCAGAGCAAGATCCTGAAGGTCATCAGGAAGAACCTAGTCAAGAAGTGTGTCGAGCTTTTCGAGGAGATCGCCGAGGACAAGGAGAACTACAAGAAGTTCTACGAGCAGTTCGGAAAGAACCTGAAGGTAAGCATCTCATTAGAATCATCGCCTATAATTAATCCCAGCGTGTTTTATTGGATTAATGTACGCTGATAATTTCGTGTTTAAACTCTCCATAAAATCCAGACTATCACATTACGCTTGTTCGTCAAATTCATTTTCCGCTCATTCCACGCTCTTCCCGCACGCAATGTGTTCAGTTGTAGCACCATTTTTCCGGCTTTTGTCGGGGGTGATGCCGGGTCAGCTGGGCTGTGCTAAGGAAGTAGATCAATGCCGAACAGTGCTAACACACTACGTGGGACCTCTTTCTCAATGTCCGATCGCGTGGTTGGTGGTCCTGTTCTACAGTTCTTCGTAAGTTGTAACTATCTGAGGACCTTAGTTGGGCTTGTTGTTAATGATCTTTTATTATGTTCACAGCTCGGCATCCACGAGGACAGCACCAACCGCAAGAAGCTGGCCGACCTGCTGCGCTACTACACCTCTGCGTCCGGCGACGAGCCGTGCTCGCTGAAGGACTACGTGTCGCGCATGAAGGACAACCAGACGCAGATCTACTACATCACGGGCGAGTCGCGCGACCAGGTGTCCAACTCGGCCTTCGTCGAGCGCGTCAAGAAGCGCGGCTTCGAGGTGGTCTACATGGTGGAGCCGATCGACGAGTACTGCGTGCAGCAGCTGAAGGAGTACGACGGCAAACAGCTGGTGTGTGTCACCAAGGAGGGCCTCGAGCTACCGGAGGACGAGGAGGAGAAGAAGAAACTGGAGGAGGACAAGGCCAAGTACGAGAACCTCTGCAAGGTGATGAAGGACATCCTGGACAAGAAGGTGGAGAAGGTGGTCATCTCCAACCGGCTGGTATCCTCGCCGTGCTGCATCGTCACCTCCCAGTACGGCTGGTCGGCCAACATGGAGCGCATCATGAAGGCTCAGGCGCTGCGTGACAACTCCACCATGGGCTACATGGCCGCCAAGAAGCACCTCGAGATCAACCCCGACCACAAGATCGTCGAGCAGCTCAAGGTGAAGGCTGACGCCGACAAGAACGACAAGAGCGTCAAGGATCTGGTGATGCTGCTGTACGAGACGGCCCTCCTGAGCTCCGGCTTCAGCCTCGAGGACCCGGGCGTGCACGCGTCGCGCATTCACAGGTACGTCTACAATTCATTCAATTCACTGTATTTTTGCGCATAATTTTATATTTAAATGATGCCATTGCACTTAATGTCCGATCTCTGACGAATGACTCTCTCCCTGATAAGTATTCCCCACCCAATCGCCTGTTACCCCTCGTGGTTTGCGGTGCTGACGATCTTTTCCCTCTTTGCCAACAGGATGATCAAGCTCGGCCTGGGTATCGACGATGACGGCGAGCCGGAGGTGGCCGAGACGCCCGCTGAGGAGATGCCCCCGCTCGAGGGAGAAGATGAGGATGCCTCGCGCATGGAGGAGGTCGACTAGATGCGCTCCCCCCCCCCCCCTCGCTAGGCTATCATCTGCATAAGGCTGTCATTTTTCATTATCATTTCGTTAGTTATGTTTATAATACTGTTCCTACGGGATTGTGATTGCACGTGTATGATATCAGGTACCGATTAATACATTGTCCATTGTGTTGGTACGGTGTTTTCTGGGTGGTACTGCTGCTTATGGAGGAACTGCGGAAGGGAATTGGGGTGACGACAGCGAGCGGGAAATGCGAAACTGATGAAACGCTGCTGAGTGCGGTCTAATTGGGGGTCGTTGGCACCAGTTTGCTCACATCTTGATCTGGTTCTCCAAATTCGAAAAGGAAGTTCAAACCAGCAACCAGATAGATGGTGGGGTCTCATTTTACCCGGTTGTCCGCCTCGGCTTACTACACCTGACAAGCCCATTCGCTAGCAGTCGCGCTGAATGAATTGGGATTTGGTATTCACCAGCGAATTTTAGGTCTAGGCAAGGGCATTGACGCATGACAACGCCAAGGCTATAGAACTCGACAACGCCAAATTGAAACCAACTAGGCCATTTCCCGACCCATTTCACAAACTAAACGAATGAAGTGAGATTATAGCCATCAAATCAACAGCTCTCCCGATATGACCACCTCGCACTGATACGTGGAACAAGCATGCTCGCTGAAGCTCATTGATGAGCAATGGCACTCATCTCGATCTCGATCGATTATGAATAATCAGCAGAGCACCATTGTAATACATTTTACATATGTTACATTGTTTGTTAACATTGAACATTATTTATAAATAAAATTAAAAATTGAACATTATTACATAGGCGACGGAATGGGTAGGGCACCGGGGCACAGGGCTGCGGAGTCGATGGATTTACGGCGACTCCGACTCCGACTCCGACTCCGGCTTTCAAAAACCAACTCCGACTCCGACTCCGACTCCTGGCAGAAATGTCGACTCCGATCGACTCCAACTCCCGACTCCGACTCCGCACACCTGGCAGGGCTGCGGAGTCGACAGATTTTCGGTGACTCCGACTCCGACTCCGGCTGGGGTTTCCAATATCGACTCCGACTCCGACTCCGACTCCGGTCACAACTGTCGACTCCGACCGACTCCGACTCCGACTCCGACTCCGACTCCGCAGCCCTGCCGGGGCACCGTAGATTTTGGCATTTAAACATTAGCCCTATGGCCTGGGCGTTGCATGGAAAGAATGGGACCAAAAGTCGGCAGTGCCCCCCTTGATTGAAGGTGTTCCGCCGCTACTGATTTATTATATAGAACATTTAAACATAAACAATTGTGCATAACGCACATTGTGATGCGTTCTCTACGGGGCAGCATCCCAGCTACCGTTCTTGGCCGCCAGGTGTCAGCACAAATTCGTCGCTAGATGTCACTAAAGACCGGACCTCCATGCCGTCGCCTCCTGCAGTCTAGCGAGAGCGCTGTAATATGCAAGGCAAGGGGGAACGGACCATTGGATCTGGGATTATCCTCATTACTCTGAAATACATTCCCTGAAACTACGTGACGTTGACGCTGAAATAAACCATAACAGTGCCAGGGTGACAACTGATAACTGGATTATGCTTGTCTGTCTACTCTGAACCTATACCTACTTGGTGCATGATGAAATTGAATAAGTATGAAATCAATATCAAAAGACCGGCTGATAATTAATTTGCTGACAATATGAGTAGATGGGCCATGGTATGACGATTGTAATCATTAGCTGTGTTTCTTATTGAGGGCAGGGCCCAGGGGCCAGGGCCCAGGCCATAGTCACGGGCCATTTGCGTCCTTCGACGGCACAAGGTGGTACGACCCCCCCTCGCGTTTGGCCCCTGATCGAGCTAGAGCTTCCCGGAAAAAAACTAGCGTGTTGCCCGTCACGAAAGGAAGCCGATGATATTCAGTTTTAAGGTCCTAGGTCATTGGCTGACCTTCCAGGTCAGGTCAATGACCCGAAAATCGGGAAAATCGAGACCTGTCCGTTCCCCTTGTGCCGGCGAGGGTTAAGACGACTAGGCGAACCGACGATTTTTTGTGGAAAGGCATGATCGTGGTCCAGCATTCACGGTTTGACCGTTCTGGTCTTGGTTCTGGTAACAGGTTGTCCATTCGTGGTTTTGCACGAATTCATCCAAGTTCATCCGTTTCTTTGCAATGGTTCCACTTCGACTACCGGCTAAAACGATGCTCTAATTGGCTTTCGTACATCATGTTGAAAACTTTTTTTCGGCCGTTGTCGGAAGAAATCGTTCTTTAGACTCCATTTATCTACAGCACCTGTTACCATTATGGGATGGCGATTCATAGTCTTTCTATAAGCGTTGGTATTGGTAGCGCTAGCGCTGGTAACCCTTGGCATTGTAGCCAATAAATTACCTTCAGTCGTCGTAAAATCCAACCGATGTTTTCCTTGGTGCCGTTCATCTATTGTCCGCAAATTGTTTGAGCGAACGAAGCCCATTCGGCTATTGCGTTTAAATCTGAGGCAGTATCTATATAGAAAAATAAAACTAGCGCTGTAATATCAGAAGAGTAGCGACCTTGACCTTATCGTTCTATTTTACTAACACTCAAATAGCAATTAGCATTACTGATTAGGTAGGTACTCACCGAGAAACTGACGTAGGCAAAGCCAGTTTTCCCAGCGCCCAGTGCCCATGTTGTCCATATATTTTCATATTCCGTTCCCAGCTAATGGCTTGTCTCCTTCCTTTCCACAATCGACTGTTGAAATATTTTGGAATAACAAATATCTGCATGATTAGCTATCGAGTCTTGTTGTTATTGTATCGTGTATGATGAAATACATTCTATCCCAAAGTCTCAACTCTAATGGCGAAAACATATAGGTACCTAGGTGGGTAGAGTACCTATAAAGTTATTTTGTTTTTTATCGCAGCCAATCACCAAGTTGTGGGTCTTAGCAACCCTTCTCATGCCTTGCAGAGCATTGACGTGTTATGCAATGGGTCTTGTCTGAGCGAGAGCCAAAAGCGTCCATGGATTTTATCTCGGTCTTAGACTTATCGCGCTTAGTGTGTTCCTTACCTGGAAATTCCTCGATGGGCGGCGCAGTGTTGGAATATCTCATGGCCGCTGTCCAGCTGCTGGTAGGACCACAGTGCACCCCCCTCGTGCCCCCCCCTGGCCATCGGCGGTGTGCCCATGTCGTCCATCACCTGGCGTGGCAGCCGGCGCCCGTCTGGCCGCGCGCCGCCGCTCCTCGGCTCCGCCGCCGCCTCCTCCGCGGAGGCACAGACAGACCAATACCCACCGGCGCCCCCGGCCGGATTCCGATATCACAGCCCAAAGAAACATGAGCGGCGGCTCTAGGGGTGACAAGAAATCACTAGGCACATGAAATGACGGATAATTAGTTGCAATATGTTAGGTAATGTCCTTTTATTTCTCGCCGAATGGTAGATTATGCTTCAGTATAGGTGATCTACACGTCTGAAGAAACCAAGGTTGAGGTGACCGCATGACCGTGCAACTTTTATGGAACATAAACAGCTCAAGAAGGTGTAGCAGTCGTTGTTGATATGATAATGCATCGGTAAATATGTTAGTAGGTATACACAAATACAGATAGACATACCGTAATGTAAGCAATCAGGTAACTAAAGCCGGTCACAAAACAGCTAAGAATGGACACCGGGCGGCAAAAGAAAGGTCGGTATCTGTTCTTTCTTGAAGAGCTGTAGATGACATATGCATGTTTACATAACATACAAACTTACCTGCATATTTATCCATTTTGTTTGTAATGTGTATTTACATCGATGCACCCCTGTAATCTCATGCATCAAATGTCTCCGTATATCTCGCACACCAGCTCTGCAGAATGCTCTTCTAAAGGTAATAAATCGTAAAGAGCGAAACCGCAATCTCCATGAACTATCAATGCGACATGTCTGCATATTATTCATGCATTGTTGCATAAGGAATGGCAGAATGAGCGTAAAAATAGACCATGCGTTTGGGACTGCCACTCGCGATTCGGGCGCTGGGACGATTCGTTCCACTGTCTGAACAGAAGGCGGACAATATTTTCCCGATCAGATATAGAGCTGCCGGTATTATGGTGTAATCTGATGCGACCCACGGCATCAGTCGTGCCCAGCCGCCATCACTTCAGAGCTGCAGAAATAGCGCCGGCGCTGCTGAGCTGGCGCTCGGTCCACTTCACGCCCTGTGGATCAGACTGGTCCACTTCACACCCTTGTGGATCAGACGGAGTGGCCGCCACGGCGCGTGCCTGCCACACAGCGCGTGCCGACCAGCCGTACAGACAGCGCGATGACCAGACAGGCGTGTAAAGGCGTGCAGGACAATTCGTGCTAAATTGACCGCCTTGGGGAAGAAGCACCATATGCTTCCTCGGGGGAGAAACACTTGTGCCTTGAGCCGCACCGTGCAGTTGCACTGGTGTGATCCCCGGCGGCAGAGCCAGCTCGTCAGAGCCAAGATTACTTTACTTTTAGTTAAAGCCCTCTCATCCACCGACTGATGTGCCGTCGGGTCGATGACGCCTTGATAAGCGCACAATCCATGACGCATGCACTGAGCAGTTCTGTCCCTGTTCGCGGCTCCCAATGGCTTCATCGCTGGATGACGACTGGCCGCCTCTGAACTGAGACGAGCCGAGCCGTTCGGTTGGTATCGTGACACGATCTACTCGTTTGTCGGTCGGTCCGGGATCGTCCGGGGGAGATGGAGTCGCGCCTCGCTGGCTCTAACAGACAGCTGGATGTCTAAGGGAAGTCCATGCGCGATGGACGGCCCGCACGGGAGGTTCGTTCGCCCTGCCCTCCAGCCTGGATGTCGTCCCTAGATTCTCATCGTCTCGACAGTAAACCTTTTAGAATCATAACTTTTGAACAATGCTCAAGAACTATCAATACTATCATTTGTTTTATTTAACAAAGTAGTTACGCGAGGCATTTTGGTCCCTGGCCGAAACTGGCCATGAAACTATACCTAAATCTTTCAATAAAGAAATGTCGAGGTTCTCACATGTTCTCATAACTTCGCTCGACGTCTTGATAGCAGCACGTCTATAATGAACAGTGCCTGCCGAATCCCTCCAAATCCCACTCATGACGCAATGATGTAATGTCCCTAGCGACCATCTCCATAGTCACGC